ATATTTATATATATATATATATATATATATATATATGTTTATATAAAATATAATATAATATATATTTTGTCTTTAAAATTTTTTTCCTTTTTTAAAACAAGTTATATTTATTACGACTAAAGGTAGAAAATATTCATTTATCCTATATATATATATATATATATATATATATATAGTATATAAAATTTTTGTTATTTATTTATTACGGTTAAAGGTATAAATTTCCTTCGAATAAAATAAATGAACAAATTTATATATATAATACTGCTATAGGTATTATTTTTCTTGGCAAAGAAAAAAAATAAAAATTATTTTATATTTATTACGGTTATAGGTATTAATTTTCTAAGTATTTAAAATAAAAATTTTATTTGTATTGCTATCCATCGTCAATCATCAAATTAATTACAGGTATAAGTATTATTTTTATTTTGTTTCCTTTCTTAACAACAGCACATTCCTCAATAGTGTAGTATAAAAAAATAATTTTCATCTTTTTTCTTATTCTATCTATATATATATATATTAATTTTAGAAACGAAACTATTATATCCAATAGTTTCGTTTCTAAAATTAATTAAAATGACTTATTAACTAACCGATTACAATTTTCACAAAATATATAAAATTTGTATTATCTGAATTTTTGTTTTTCAATTACTTTTTTTTTAAATGATTTACATTTTATGAAGAGTTTTTGAAAAGTTGCGTTTTTTTGCAAAAGTCTTTGAAATGGATGTTTTTGAAATGGATGCTTTTACCATTAATTTTTATTGGAGGTTATTTGAAAATAGGGAATATTTGCGAAAATAAATTTGAAATATTTTCATTACAAACAAACATTATATATGGTAAATGTTTTTTCTTTTACATTAACTTCTTATAAATTGGATGGATGGATGGACGGATGGATTGATGGATAAATAAGCAAGGAAGAAAGCAATATTAATACGATGTGAACAGACGGACGTCAGGTAAACAATTAAAACAGTAACTATAAAATTTGAAAAAACTAATACTAATTAATAGACATATTATAAAATCAATTAACATATTGAAAATTTAAACTTAAAACACAAATTTATTAATTAGTCAGTTAATAATAAGTAAAATAAGTAAGCAAGTAAGTAAATAAATATTTTAGAAATATTTTATGAAAATATTACTAAATTAAAAATTAATATCTGTTATAAAATATTTTAGCTGGCATTTCATAATGTAAAATGTATACATTTTATTATTAATGTTAACCATAACCCTAACCCCAACCCTAACAATAATAGTAAATATTTTAACTCTTTTAATTTAATATTTCTGAATATATATTTGTAGGGAAAAATATAAATTTTTGATAAATAAATTAATGAATTGTTTAAAATGATAGTTGTTGATTGGAAAAAATGATTTGACAATAATGGATTTTTTGTAAAAAAATGTTGTCATTATCATCGCAAGTATATACTGTATATAATATGTATTTTTATATTGTATATATATTAGATTCAGTGCTATTTCATGGTGCGGTAATGAATAGGGGTTTGGGCCGCCATCTGAAAATTGGTTTGGCCATATACGTGGGGAGTTGAATTGGAGCTGGTAAAGTAGTATATTAATAATATACTACTGAACTTTGGTGACAATTCGTAATAAACTCTCCGTGTTTAAAGATTTGGCGTTGATATTCTTGTCTGGTTGAGAAGAGCTCATCAATTCGTTGTTGGGTCTTCCGACTAAATTTCTGGCAAGAATTGAAATGAAAAACCTTTTAGAATCCCTCATTCGTGAGTTGAAAGGATTCGACTAAGGAAAGTTTCCACGAAACATTGATAGTAATTATTGTTCAGTTTAACGAATTTATTTTAGATCCGTTATCCTGTTGAATTCGGTTGTCAATTTGATATGCCGAATCGCACTTAGTAGCTTGGAATGCTTGTTTCATTCGCCTATTTGGTGAATTGTTAACTTGTATTTCCGAAATGCTAAAAAATTTCGAAATTCTCTCCGAAAATCCTCCTAGGGTCTATATAAGGAATTTCGTTTACGCGAAATTCTGGACCTATTGGGTTAAGGGAAGAACAACCGAATGATTTTGTATGTTGAACGATTTTTTTTTGTTTAATTTTACAAAAACGTTTGGTTGGCGGTTAAGTTGTATCTTGCTTGAATATATATTATATGAAAGTTTATCGGATTTTTAGTCTGATAGATTTTTGTATATTTTATTCCAAGTGTACAGCTTACGTTGTGCGATGTTATTTCATCATATATATGCGCAACGCCTACTCTATTGGGGACCGCTTCGAAGATATCTGGTTGATCTTGCCAGTAGTCATATGCTTGTCTCAAAGATTAAGCCATGCATGTCTCAGTACAAACTTTTGCACAGTGAAACCGCGAATGGCTCATTAAATCACACATGATTTATTCGATCATCCTATCCTACTTGGATAACTGTGGTAATTCTAGAGCTAATACATGCCTTGAAGCTCCGACCTTTATGGGACGAGCGCACTTATTAGACCAAGACCAATCTGGTTGTTTTGCAGCCAGTTTGTGTGGTGACTCTGGATAATTTTTTTGCAGATCGCATGGCCTCGAGCCGGCGACAGATCGTTCAAGTGTGTGCCCTATCAACTAGACTTTGAGATAGACGCTCAAAGTGGTTGTTACGGGTAGCGGGGAATCAGGGTTCGATTCCGGAGAGGGCGCATGAGAAATGGCGACCACATCCAAGGAAGGCAGCAGGCGCGCAAATTACCCACTCCTAGCACGGGGAGGTAGTGACGAAAAATAACAACGCAGGACTCCATTGAGGCCCTGCGATTGGAATGAGTACACTTTAAATCCTTTAACGAGTATCTATTGGAGGGCAAGTCTGGTGCCAGCAGCCGCGGTAATTC